AAACGGTTTGGCCCTGCGAATCGGGCACTTGTGGTAAACGCATCGCGCAATTGTCTGATGTGTAAAAACAAGCGACATCCGCTGTATACGTGTGATAAATTTAAGCAGTTACCCGTAAACAAACGTATCGAAACGGTCAAGAACGCGAGGCTTTGCTACAACTGCTTACGTTCGCATCCGGGCACCCCGTGCAGGTTTTCCAACTGTACGATCTGCCAAAAACGGCACAATACGCTTTTACATCTGGAGAACTACGCGACCGCAAAGGGATCGAATGACACGAAAACCGAATCCGCTCAGACAGCATGACTATCACGGACGATCGACAACAGAGCATGGACTCTCGCGACGTTAGGCACTTCGACCCCGCAATTAATGACGAGCGCGATGATTTATATACGGGATCGTAGAGGCGGTTCGGTCAAATGTCGTGCTCTGTTAGATACGTGCGCTACTGCCAATTTCATCTCGGAATCCATCGTTAAACGTCTAGATGTACACGTGACTGCGCACTCTTTACCGATCGGCGGAATTAACAGCATAAGTACCGAATCGAGGGGCATGGTGCGAATAACTATTCAGTCCGCGATCGATGGTTTCAGTAAGGAATTGACGTGTCTGACGATACCAGCTATTGCTGACTTGATTCCTTCTGAGGTTTTTCCGCGCAATTCGATTAAATTGCCCCCGAATATAAGATTAGCAGATCCAGAATTTCATTTGCCGCGGTCGGTCGATTTACTAATCGGTTCCGGAGCGACATTATCTTTGTTCGCCGTCGGCCAGATTAACTTATCTCGCGAAGGCTATGACTTATATTTACAAAAGACGCGTCTGGGATGGGTTGTTGCCGGAAATACGTCATCACAGAACCCATCGAAAAACGGGACGTGTCATTTAGCGAATCTAGAAGATTTATTACTTAGATTCTGGACAGTCGAGGAGGTCGCGATGAACAAACCGGAATCTGAAGAGAATACAGAATGTGAAACGCATTTTATAAAAACCGTGACTCGTGACGTCACCGGACGATATACGGTTCGGCTACCGTTCCGCAATACAGAGAAACGGCTCGGCGAATCGCGAGCATTGGCCTTTAAACGCTTAGCGTCGTTGGAGCGCAGGCTCAACGCGAACTCTACATTAAAGAATGAATACACGCGATCGGTAGAAGAGTATTTGAGTTTAGGGCACATGTCGCGAATAGATGACCCGGGTGATGACGGCTACTATATGCCTCATCACGCGGTGATCAAAGAATCGAGTAATACGACCAAGGTCCGGATAGTATTCGACGCATCTGCGAGATCGAACACCGGCGTGTCTCTTAATGAAATGTTGCTAGTCGGTCCGACAATCCAGAATACGTTGACTTCGCATCTAATCCGTTTTCGTGCTTACAACTACGTCGTAACAGCCGACATTGAGAAAATGTATCGCCAGATATGGCTACACGAGGAAGATCGACCGTATCAGCGCATTCTCTGGCGAAGAGATAGGGACGTAGAAACGTTTCAACTAAACACACTAACGTTCGGTGTGTCTTCCTCGCCGTTTCTCACGATTCGTACCGTGCATAAGCTCGCGGAGGACGAGTCCCTCACATATCCCAGAGCGGCTAGGATTCTCAAAACGCACCTGTACGTCGACGATTTATTGACCGGAGCCGATACTATCGACGAAGCTCGCGCGATCAGAAATGAAATAATTGCATTGCTCTCCCGCGGCGGTTTCGCCATCCGGCAATGGGCATCTAACGACGTCCGGATAATTAACGATTTACCGTCCAACACACTACACGCGAACTTTGCATTAAACGTGGATCGCACATTGAAGACGTTAGGCGTCACCTGGAGTACACGTGACGACAAAATATACTACTCGACTCATCCGTTTAACGTTAACGCGAGGGTGACGAAACGGAATATTCTGTCAGACATTGCGAAAATTTACGACCCGGTAGGTTTCTTCGGACCGCCTATATTATACGCAAAGAAACTAATGCAAGACGTATGGCGGTGCGGGTTACATTGGGACGAATCCGTTCCTCAAAACATATTTACGGAATGGTCGGAATTCGCGAAACAATGGGAATTGTTAGATCAGATTTCCTTTGACCGTAAAATATTAGTTGAGGATCCCCAAGATGTCCAATTACACGGTTTCTGCGACGCTAGCAATAACGGCTACGGCGCATGTTTATACGTGCGTTCTCGCGGAAGAAAGGGCAACACCGCTGTCAGGTTATTGTGCGCTAAATCCCGAGTCGCGCCGCTAAAAACGGTCACGATCCCGCGCCTCGAGCTCTGCGGCGCGCTACTGTTAGCTCAGCTTTATCGCGAGGCAAGTAACGCCCTAGATATTATTCCTAATAAGATCATTCTATGGTGCGACTCGACCATCGTGCTGCATTGGTTGAAAACGGCTCCGCATCTATTACAAACATACGTGGCAAACCGTGTCGTATCAGTCCGCGAGCTCACCGGCTCATGCGATTGGCGACACGTTAGATCGGAACACAACCCTGCCGATGCGCTATCCAGGGGACAAATGCCTCGCGACTTCTTAAAAAATCAGACGTGGTCTTCAGGCCCGCCGTGGCTAATTGAAAACGAAATTGATTGGCCTAACGAGATTATGCGAACCATTAAAGTTCCTGAATTAAAGAAAAATACTTGTTTAGTCGCCGCACATTATGATAGCACCATTTTTGAAAGATTTTCCTCGTACTCTAAACTGCTCAGAGTTATTGCACGTTGTCTTCGCGTCCGACCCGACAATAGCTTCGCGGGACCGTTATGCGCCGAAGAAATTAATAACGCGGAGAAACGAATATTAAAGGTTCTCCAAGCTTCCCATTTCTCAGATGAAATCAAGAAACTAAAAAATAAGGCTCCAATAAACAAAAGTAAAATTGCCAATTTAAACCCATTTATAGACGACGACGGTTTGATGCGGGTCGGAGGACGTCTACAGATGTCGAGCCTGTCTTTCACACAAAAACATCCCGTTCTCATTCCCAATCGTCATTATTTGTCCGACTGCATCATCCGGGAAATTCACGAGAAACATCATCACGCGGGCATCCAGCACACGTTATATTTTCTTCGGCAAAATTTCTGGTTGTCAGATAGCCGTAATCAAGTTCGAAAAATTATACGCAAATGCGTCCGTTGTTTCCGTTTTGATGCGAGTGCGGTCGAATACAAGATGGGGAATCTTCCGCCGGCGCGAGTCCGCGAGGCTATGCCTTTTTCTCACACCGGTATCGATTACTGTGGGCCATTCTATATCAAAGAAAGGAAATTTCGGAATCGCACGCGGGTCAAGGTTTATGTATGTATATTCATATGCATGGCGGTAAAGGCGGTACATTTGGAAGTCGTGAGTGATTTGTCCTCCGAAGGTTTTCTCGCGGCATTGCGTCGTTTCATTGCGAGGCGGGGAATGCCGGAACACGTGTATTCAGACAATGGAACGAATTTCGTAGGGGCTAATAACCAACTGAAAGAGATATACGCATTATTCAATTCCGAAGAGCACAAAGACGTAATAAACAGATTCGCGAGCGAACATCGGGTCGTTTGGCATTTCATACCACCGTTAGCGCCACACTTTGGCGGAGCGTGGGAGTCGATGGTAAAACTTTTTAAACACCACCTCAAACGTGTTGTGGGCGACTCATTATTCACATTCGAGGAATTTAATACATTTACCACCGAAGTCGAGGGCATCCTAAACTCAAGGCCAATAACTTCTATTTCATCTGACCCGAATGACATACTAGCGTTGTCCCCGGCTCACTGTTTAATCGGCAAGCCTATAACGGCCCTCCCCGAGGGCGAACTAACGTCTGTTCCAGTGAACCGTCTGTCCACCTGGCAACACCTTGCCAAGGTGAGACAAGACTTCTGGAAGCGGTGGAGTCTCGAATATCTAAACGAGCTCCAAACACGCAATAAATGGAATAAGGACGGACCAAAACTCGACGTAGGGACTGTGGTACTCGTGAAAGAAAAAAACCTACCGAGTAACCAATGGGCCCTCGGCAGAATCGTGAGATTACATCCGGGCGAAGACAAAATCGTTCGAGCTGCCACCATTAAAACCGCAGCCGGAGAACTCAACAGGGCTGCGAAATCGCTATGTCCACTTCCATTAGAACAATAGCTTGTAAGAAATCTTATATGCGTTACGATACACATTATGTAAAATTTATATGCGTCACTCTAGATTTAATATACTGTAACATGTTACTTATCCATATGCGACACATCCATGCGAAGCGAATCACACGGTTGATCGTACCCTCTCAACGGGGGAGGATGTTGCGTAGGACAAATACAAAGGTCGTGCACGACATGCGAAACGATACGGACGGCTCACACACGCCCTCATGCATACATACATACACACACATATGCCCGTATACGTACGTGCATAGGTGTA